TGCTATAGGAACAAGATTCTCACAATGTGGCCTTGTGAATCAATTTTCTCTCTGTGCTGATGAAAGTGTAATTCATTCTTAATCAAGCAGCCTTGCCGCTGCAGGCATCTTGCCGGAATACATTTAGTTATCTTCCCATCACTTTGGGAAGCGATCCCCCCAAAAGGACTTTTAGAGGAGACCTGGAAGGAGAATTGGCAGCCAGCCTCATACTGTGTTTACCAGCAGGGGGCGCTCTTGGGACCGATGCTGGAGGAGCCTTTGTAGCCAGAAGCCTTCCACAGCCAACTAGAGGGATGAGGCTGGTGTTGGTCACAGGTGCCTTCCAAGCTTGCTGTCTCCAGCCCTGGGGCCATCTCTCAAGAGTGGGCAGGTGCCAGATTGGTATGACTTAATGGGCTGGACCAGGAGCCTGTTGACTCTGCATCTTGCATGGATATCTGGATTAGGGAGAATCTTTTGGGTAACCTGTCCTCTGCAGGGTTTAGAGAAGCCAGCCACCTGCCCTTTGCAAGGAGACAGATGTGTCTCTAAATCAGAGCATGTTTCACTTGGGTGGATGTGTCTGTTTCTGTCGTGCTACACCACACAGTTTAGATCATTTGAGAAAGGCTGGCTCTGCCACGTGGCTCCCCTCCTGCCCTTTGTTGGCCTGGTGATTGTCCCCATAACTGGCAGTCAGATGGGAGAAATTGGCTGGACATAAGGACTGAGTCTATTGGCACTAGGCAGGAAGGAGGAGCAGACCCCAACAGGTGGATTAGAGTCCAGGTCAGGTGAAAACAATGCCATCTCTTATCTGTAGCAGAAAAGAAAAGACAATTGTCTTCTCAAGGTGGGATTGGATTAGTGACAGACTTGAATAGCCTTTTCAGTCTAGGGAGAACATAACTGCCGCCTGTATTGTTCACACAACTGGTTTTAATCAGATGTGAAGAGACAGCTGGAGAGAGAGTGGGTCAGCCCAGTGCCTAGTGAGGAAACACCCTGTCCTTTAGTCATGTGTAGGGAACTGGCAAGAGTGCTTGGGTTAGCAGCTTTGGGTGCAATCGGTCCTTGTGTGGCTTCCAAAGGGAGATAGGCTGCACTCCGCATTGTTGACCCTCCTGGACTCAGTCATGAGTTTTAAAGGGCAGTGTGTAACAACTGTGGTCACTGTCACATTTGGGCAGAACCCCACACACTCGTCCTCCAAAGGACTCAAAGTGGGTTATATTTTACAGGCCCACAATGACTCAGGTATTGTTGTACAAGGGGCTTCAAAAAGTGTTGAAAAATCCATGACCTTTTAAACCCATTTTTCCATGCACTTTTTTTTTTTTTAATGTTTTATTGTGAATTATATGATAGTTTACATGGGAGAACTTTAGTTTTACATTCATTCTATCGTATATCATCTCACTGCCATGGTTCAAATCCCCTCCATGCATCATCAACCACCCAAAGGGTATATCCCAGAAACCCACCCCCTACACTTCCCTCTCCTCCCCCCAGTTTTCGGCCCACAGTCCCTTTCCCCTTCTGGGTCCAAAGTCCCCAGTCACTTCATCACTCCACGTCATCATCTCTGTCTCTATCTCAGGCATCTCTCTTTCTCTGGGCAGGGTCCCGCTCTCGGCTCTTCTCCATTGATGGTCCCAGAGGCCTCCGCTCCTATCCTGGAGAATTAACCACTCCCTTCCTTGCTACAAAACCTCCACCTCTGCATTTCCAACCCTCATAATCCGTCCATGCACTTTTTGAACTTCTTTTGTATCCTCATCCAGAGGCTTTTCTGCTTCACCATCTACTGAAATCCTGGCAAACTCTTCAGATGCTGCCCTGGCTGTGTGCTTGTAGACACTGTTCCCCAAGCAAGCAAGGCTGGGAGTGGAGAGGGGGCCCACTGGATGGCCAGGGGAACACAGGCGTCTTTGTAACGTGGGGTGGTGGGTGGGACTCAGGAGACTAGCTTCAGCTCTCAGCTCATAGGGCCCTAGTCGGACCTTCTCCATGGAAGCTCTGGCTATAGAAGCAGAGGTGCCGTACAGAAAGAAGCCAGTCACTGCACAGGGAATGGAGCAGACGCTGACATGGGACATAAGAGAACTGTTGGTTTTCATGAGAGGCAGAGTGAATTTTATGAAGCCTTCCCGTCTCTTTAATGAATACCTCCTGCTGTAAATAGGACAGTTGGGGAGCTTTTCCTATTGTGGCCTGCCCACAGCAGGTGGTGAGGCAGGGAAGACAGTTTGCTGAAGGTGAGGCAGTGCCTGAGGGGAGAGTCTCTGGGCCCATGGGCTTCTAAGAAGACACCCAAGTTCCAGGCAGAAGCAAGAAAGCTGACCTGGCTTCTCCTTGCAGACCCTCCCACCTGCTCTCCATCTCCGGCCGTCCCGTCCAGTGTATGTATGACTCAAGGAACCATCCAGTGGGCCCCCTCTCCACTCCCAGCCTTGCTTGCTTGGGGAACAGTGTCTACAAGCACACAGCCAGGGCAGCATCTGAAGAGTTTGCCAGGATGTCAGTAGATGGTGAAGCAGAAAAGCCTCTGGATGAGGATACAAAAGAAGTTCAAAAAGTGCATGGACGGATTATGAGGGTTGGAAATGCAGAGGCAGGTGGACATATCGGTGTCTGCCTGAGATAGAGGACCCTACCGATTTGGAAGCCAGCCTAAGGCCAGTGCGGTGACTGCAGGGGCTCTGACAGTGAGCAGGGAGTATACTGCGAGGTTTTTCCTTTGAACCCTCAGGGACTATCCAGCGAAGTGAAAGGTGAAAACGGAGTGGGATACCAAGCTCACTGGGCTCCAGCAGTCCCCAATGGCCAGCCAGGCCTCTATCCAACAATCTATCCTTGTCTCTGACCATTGCAGCATTTTGGGAAGGCTGTACCCAGCCCCCCCTGCTGAGGCCACATATTTTTGTGCTTTTCTCTTCCTGTGTGGTCAAGAGCTTTCTACCCCCCCCCCCCTCAGTGCCTCTCCTCGGGGGCCAAGGTAAACTTGTGTTCTTGTGAGATAAGAGATGAGGCTGCGCCCCACGGTTCAAGATCTGGTGTGGGCTGAGAGCAGGGAAGCACCCGCCTGCCCAGGAGCACTCTACATCCCATCAAACACAGGCTTCAGAAACTGGAGTCTGGTTTAGCGGGTGCTGCCAGAACCATCCCCTGGTACCTCGAGGGGACGGCCAGACAAGCTTCTCAGTGAGAGGATCCAGGAATTCTTGGAGCCAGCTTTGTGCAAATGGGCAGGAGGCTCTCTGAGGCCCCCACAGGCCTGGGCACCCTGCCTGGTGAGGTATCCAGGCCTCTCTGGGGCATCTGTCTGTCCTACTTCATGGACACATGACCCTGCCTTCCCTCGCACCCTTTCCTAACCGGCCCTCTGCTCTGCCACTACCACTGCCACTACCACCCCCATTAGAAGGAGAGGAGCCAGGGCAGGGGAGGGGAGGAAGCCTGCCGTGTGATTAGTAACAACAGCTGTCGAGTTCTCAGCGTGTGCCAGGCACTCTGTGAGCTTACACGCATTTCCCGATTAACCCGAACATCACTCTCTGAGGAAGAGCTGCTATCACCCCAAGTCACAGTGAAGGACTGAGATCTGTCCAGGACCACACAGCTGTGGTGGGTGGTCCAGGTGGGAACTGGATCCATGCAGTCTGAGCAGCACACCTATGTCTGACTGGGGATGAGGAGTTGACTCAGAGTGGCTTTAAGCACTCTGTTCCCTTCAGGGTCGGGGAGCTGGTTTTTCCCTTTCTTCTCTCTCTCCACTCACATCCTAGTTCTCAGTGTCACAGGCACACTTCTCTTTGGATCTAGGGAGAAACCCCTCCAAACTCAGCTCCCTGCTGAAGAGTGTTCATGTCAGCACAGAAATGAAACGCTCTCCCATTTCCCATCAGAAATGGGCTTTCAAAGGGCTTCTGAAACTGGTTTCACTGAAGAAAACATCTCAGACGGTTCCCTGCATTCAGCTTGTTAGTCAGGAACTCCAAGGCCAAAAGCTTTGGCAGGATTTAAAGCATGGCTCTCAAGCTGTCTCGTTTCGAGCACACTAATGCCGCCTGTCTTTTGATGGTGAAGTGGTTGGTTTGAGTCTTCCTCCCCCGCCCTGTGTGGAACTGTTACATGTGGTCCTGAGGACTTTGTGGATTCAGGAGCTGCCAGAGTTGGAGGGAGCAGGCCAGACCATGTAGCCTCCCTCCTGGTTCTCACCCCCCGAGGAAAGAGAGTTGGGGTATCACTGAGGCTGACTCCAGCAGGGTGGATTTACCCAACCTCCTCAGCCTGATGGGAGCTCTCACCACCCCCTCACCATCTTTGTGGTCTACATCTTACTCATCAAAGCTGTTTGAGCTCCTTCGAGGGTGCAAAGCACTGAACCAAGTGCTCAGGGCATGAAGATGCACAGTAGGTACCCCCAGACCTTCAAGAGCTGTGGGAAGGGCTGGGGCTGGGCATAGAGCATAAACGTGTTTCTACACAGAACCTGAGCCAGCACCACCTAGAAAGCCCAGTGTCCCCCAACTCATAGTAGAAACTGGTCTTGACTACTGGTCAGGAGATAGTCAGCTGCCCTGAGGAATTAGGAGTGGAGAAAAGGGGTAAGTTTTCCTTCCTCTGATGCTGCCTACAAAGTCCCTCTGTGCCCAGAGGGTATTTACCTCCCTGTTCAGTATCTCCACAGACAACTGTTATCACGGAACACCACAGGGATGTCTCCTAGGAGACAGGAATGTGAGACTCTGAAAATGTCCAGATTACCTGTCCTCTGAGAAAATACATGCCAATAACATTTTCCCAACATGCTTTTGCCCACTAGCCATCCCTCCTGGCATGCTCTTCATTTGTCATCTCTAGGTTGAATTCTTGGGCAAATCTAGAAATTCCCTAAGTGTCTAGGTAAATAAAACGTCCTTTTCTCTAAGTCACTTTTTAAATTAATCCACAGGCAGGATGGTATGAAAGTGTAGAAACCAAGTTCCCTCAGTGTCTTCTCTGTTTTCTTACAGCTCACCCTGCAGAGTGCCAAGTCTCGCGTGGCCTTCTTTGAAGAGCTCTAGTAGGTGACTCGCCACCCATGACCTGCCACTGCTGCTCCGCACCAGCGGGATGGTCAGACACCATGGGAACTGCCATGGGAGAGCTGGCTGGGAGTTTCTGTGAAAGCTCCAGAACTTTCCCCTGCTGAGTACAGAGCCCAACCCACTTCATGTGCAATTGCCTTGAACTATGACCCTGCAGAAATTTCTCAGGGGTTCTAGTTCTCCTGACCCATGTCTTTCATTTTTAAAAAAAATAAGTATTTGTCTTTCTTCTTCTAATGTGGAATCTTAAACTTTCTTTATCAAAGGAGCCCTGGCATGTATCTTACATACTGTTCAGGGCTGGTCCCCAGCTCAGTCTGGGAAATGGGTGTAGGGAGTGAAGTACAGAGACTCCTGGAAGCAGGGAAGGTCTTTGCCAACCCACTCCTGCCCAGCGCAGGGCTCTGGAATACTATCTGTAGACAAAGAGCTATCATGCAATGAAGAAGCAGGGCTTGCTGAGCCCAGGCCCAGTGAGCTTCCTGAGACCCATCGTAAGAAAAATCCCAGGCACCCCTGAGGAAGCACTCTTGCTGCCAGCTGGTAGGGAATCGGAAAGGCATCTGTACCTAGGGAAAGAATTTAGGCAGAAGCTGTGATGAGGGGCGGACTATCAGCAGAGTAGCTGGGAAGTTGGGCGAGCTGTGTAAGGCTCTGTACCCACAGAACATTCACCACCCTCCTCCTGTCCTCGCCCCCACCAGCCTCTGAGAGGCAGCAGGGAGCCACATGTGGTTTCCCTCCTCCCTTGGACTGTAGCCTCCCCTGCGTGTCTGTCTAGTCAATACCTGATAGCATGGCTTTGACCTAGGGGTTCTGCAGATCGCAGACACCCCACAGGCGCTGCTTCCTGTAGATCCAGATGGGGAGTCCTTCTCTGGCTTCAGTTTGTGCTGCCTTCTCTCCTGGCAAGATACTGCTGATGAGATCGCCTGTCCTCCTGGCCATGTGCAGCAAGCCCTTCCCAAGCCTTCATGGCACCTGGGCTTCGTTGTGCTGTTGCCTTTGTCCCTGAGTTGTGTTAGGTGCCATCCAGTTGATTCTGATTCTCATGACCAACCCACATAACAGAGTAGAACTGCCCTATAGGGTTATCTTAGCTGTAATCTTTACAGAAATAGATCTCTAGTCCTTTCTCCTGTGGAGCTTCTAGGTGCATTGAGACCATCAGCCTTTCTGTTAGTAGCCAGGCTCCTTTTCTTTCCCCACTGGGGGCCATGTTGGGTCCCTCTGTGCCCCCTCCCTGTGAGGTCATGGAGCCACATATCCACTCACTGTGGGCTCTACACATGCTGGCAATTGATGAGCCACCCTCATGGCTCGCTTGCTCTTGGGGTTTGGGGCCAGCTGATTCCTCGGTGTTCTTCATGGCTGGTAGTGGTACTGTGACTCTACCATGAGGCCTATGTGCAGGCTAGGCAGAATGGCAGTCAGTAGGAAGAAGCTGATAGAGTGAAGACCTGGGAGGGCCTGGCGAGATCTGAGAGCAGAAGGGGTTCTCTGGCAATTTTGTTTGGTTATGAGATGTTCTTGTTCCACAGTGAGGCTGACTGAGCAGTGTCCCAAGGGAGCCAGGGTCTCCCCAGCCCCCTTAGGACATGCAGGTGGGCTCTGCATCTGGAACCTGAATATGGGTTGCTGTGACTAAAGAGCTGAGTCTCCCTACCCTCAAAGGCCTCTCTCCCCCAAGGTGTGCTCTCAGCCCCGGGAGAGCCTCTGTCGTCTCAAGCTGAAAACCCAGACCTGGATTTCCACCACGATTTTTTTCCCTCCTAGCTGTAAATTTAATCTTTTACTATGGCTGTGGGGCACAGGAACATGGTGGCAGTTTATAAAAACACTGTCGGGCTTTATTTTTATTTAACTGTTGTATGTGTGTCTGAAGTGGAGAAATGCCAAGTAGTCTGGCCACAAGGGAGCCTGCTGGCAGCTGAGCTGTGCAGAAGTGCCCTTAGGCCAGAGTCGGCAAAGGGGTCAGCAGAACCAACTCCCAGCCCAGCCAGGAACATTCCAACTGACTCTGGAGGCCGGAGCTAGTGGGCACTTCTCCAGAGATGGTTCTGGTGGGAAGGGGAGTGGAGAGAGTAAAAAGGGGAGCTTGGTTTTCAGAAACTGTGCCCTGTGGCTGAGGTGACTGTTGTCTTTAAGTGAACATGTTTAGGACGTCCGAGTCCATCAAGTAAGGACACCTTGAGAGTCCGCCAGGAGCAGTGCCCTAGCCATGCTGATTACATTATGAGCACTTGTGGTGGCTCTGGGCGGGTGGAAGAACCACAGTCAGGAAACCTTCATGAAGTCACTGCCCACCTTGTTCTTCCTCACCGCAGCCACAAAGGCCTCTGGCCCTGGTCTCCCCTCCATTATTCGTGTACCTGCCAGGCCCTGCTAGACAACACCCCAGCATTACATAACATTTTGAGTGACTGTTTTGTAATCTTCGGGACAGGTTTCTCTCTCTCTCCCTTCCCGCCCCCCACCCCAAATCCAAACTGCAAGTCCAGAGGCTGACAACCAGCCGCAGTGACTTAAGTGTTCCTTGCCAACAGAGCTGGGACCGTACACAGCTCTCCTGGGCTTCTTGGGAAGCTGGGTTTTCAAGGATGTCACATGGCACTCCTTCCTGGGGATTCTGAGCCCCCTCCTGTCAGGGCCAGACCGCGGAAGGCTTTTTTATTCTGGGTAATTGTTGTAATTTAAATGATTGTTTTAATAAAAATTCTAAGGTTTATCTTGAGGCTTCCTTGGTTTTACCTGTTGCTCAGTTGGTGGGATTCTCTGAGGAAACGGTGTTCCATTTCCTTGTTTACCAGAACTGCACCTTCAGCCTCTCAGTCACCTCTTTCCTTGCTAATTGTTGTTAAGTGCCGTCGAGTCGATTCCGACCCATAGCGACCCTGTATAGGGTTTCCAAGGAGCAGCTGGTGAGCTTGAACCACTGACCTTGCTGTTCAAACGACTTTGCAGTCTGATGCATTAGCCCACAGTGCCACACCAGGGCTCCTTCCTTGCTAATAGCACCTTATTATTCCTGCTCCAGAGTACACCCTTCCCAACCCCATACTGGGCCCTAGTGCTGAATGTTCTTGTCAAGGGGCCATGTGACATTTGCATTTGAAATTGGGAGCCATCCATGCAGAGCTAATTTTTTGTTTTTAAGGAAGAAAAGGTGTTTATTAAGACAAAAACTACTCTAGTATACCTGTCCCAACCCACTGCAGCCGAAACCTGGAGACAAATCCATAGTGTGGTGACAGGTGCCTGTGGGCCTGGTGCGTCAGAACCCCTAGCATAGCCAGTCAGAGACACACAAGATGCACTTTGCCAAAATGTTCACATTCAACTTAACTAGTTTTTCATTAGTTTTGGAAAGATACATATTTAAATCTGTAAGATCCAAGAATGGTGGAGTATTTTAAAACAATATTATTCTCTTTGAATACTAGAATTAGTAACTCGTTAGCCTATTTTCTGTGAATAATAAGATTGCTTTTACATGTAGGGGATATTCTTTACACTAATTGGAAACTAGTGTGTCCTGTCTAGGCTACGCCTGACATCCCAGAGTCTCCATTAAATGGGGTTTCAAGTTAATAGCATTCCCTTGTAGTATGGTTTTGGGGAGCTCTGTTCTGTGCCAGTAGTTTGTTCTGACCATGCTTCTTGCAAAACCAGAGCAGCCAACAGCCCCATGGGTGGGTCCTTACGGCTTTGGCAGTACCCCTGGCTGGTTACCCCACCCCCCACAGTGCCGTTTGCTGGCAGCTGCTCCTCAGGGCAGCCCACGTGTTGAGGCCTTGGCAGCAGAACTTGAGGGGACAGGTATTGGTGAGAAGACTGCAGCAGCCGTGTCAAATTCAATTTCTTGCCAGTCTAGGGAAGAGAACATTGAGCCATACTCACATTCCCAGCTTCCGCCAAAAAGCCCATATTCATCTTCTCATCAAGAAAGGCCCAGGGCTGCTCTCCCTCCCCAGCCGGCTGGCTCCCTGGCAGCCTGTCATTACTGCATTATGGCAGGAGCCATGGCCGCTGGAACAGCTCCGCTGGGAGGCCCGAGCTGCAAACAGGAACAGCTCCCAGCTGTGAAGACTTGGGCTGAGTCAGAGAGGAACTCCACAGTGTCTTCACCCAGTCCCCACTGGCATCCTCTTCTTGGGGTAAGAGCCTCAGAATAGCAGCACCCCACCCTTCCCTCAGGGCTAGACCTGCCCCTCCCTCTGTGAAGAGGCTTGAGGATTCCACCTCTGGTTCCCCGGAAGATGTCAGCAGAACTAGACCAGAGGCGAAAGGACTTCTAAGAAACAAGGCTGGCTGTGTGGCAGTTATAATCTCTTAAAAATAAGAGAGGCAACGAACAGGAAGTCTTTGTTGGAACCAGCCGGGGATGGGTGGAAAATGACCTAGTTGAGTGGTTAAGAGCCCCTGAAGTTGGAACACAGACAAACTTGGACTCAAATCCCTGCCGACCACTCACAAGCATTGCCATCCTACACATCATCTCCAGCAGTGTCTTCACCTGTAGAATGAGGCTTTCTAGGGGGTTGTGGAGTCACCACATGGGGATAAGTGGCTGATGTTTTTTTCTGGATTTCTTTTGGTGGGGGCCAAGGACACTGATGATCAGAGGGACCCAGGCCTCCTGCCGATTCCACCTGCTCCAGGAGCTTAATGAACCTGCATGGAGCCCGTTTGCCAGTGTAGTGTTTGCTCAGTGCCAGCCACTACGCTCAGGAGATGATATATAACCTGGACTGGGGCTGCCTTGGAAGGATGCACTTATTTGTCACATTAATGCCTGTGTTCAGGTCAATAATTGACTGGAAGCTCCCATGGGAGTGTGTGAGGTGGGCTGCACTCTGAGGAGCACTCCCGGCCCCAGCCTTGGGTGCCTGGGCTGGAAAAGGCATCTGCAGCCCAGCCAGCCTCATGGTGACCCAATTCTTTCTTATCAGGCAGAAGTTCCCCCCTGGAGCCATGCCCATTTCCAATGTAAATAATGTACTTACTCCACTCAGGAAGGGGCAGCTTTTGATCTGAAGGAATTAAGTCGGTAAACAAAAGCAAGACTTTGGGAGGTGTTTCATAATGGGTACCTACCTTGGCAGCTCCCACCTAGAGAAAGGAGTAAAGTTCTGACAAGTAGGAGGAATGGTGGGGATAGCCTATTACCTTCAGCATGCCTCTGCTCCCCAAGATCTGGAGCGCCCTGCATTTCCCAAGTCTAGTGACA